TTCTGCTGGGTCACTGAGCAAAGGAGCAACTACCTCCAGGGGTGTTGATCTCTGGACTGGGGGACGAGGTGGCTGAAACGTCCCAGACTCAAAGGCTCAGACAAGAGTTGAGGCTGCCTGCCAATTCCATAATGAAGCTCGGGCCCAAGCACGGCTGGGGCATAGGCTGGGCCAGGGCAGTGGCTGGGCTGGTGAGGGACCCCATCCATGGAGAGGAGTGTTCTGCTGCACCCCAGCTTCCCCACCAAGCCACAATGAGTGAGGGGCCGAGACTTCAGCCCTAGCCCAGCAGACATGGCCAGCGCAGCCCATTCTCTGATCTGCCCTCTGTCCTTGGAGGCCCCATCTGTGAAGCACGGCTCATTGTTCCCACCTCACAGTGCAGGGAGGTGACAAGTGAACAGTGCTCTCTCCAGCTCCAGTCAGTTCCCAGCACCCCTCGCTAGCCCTGGAGTGGCAGCAGGGCCAGCAGGAGGTAGGAGACAGAGGGTAGCACTGGGGAGAGAGGCTCAGGGACCTAAGGGTTCATGAGTGGAGGTGTGGAGGCCAGCGCAGGAGGAGGTAGAGCCCTGGCCTCCCCACCCAGGACTCCTGGCCTCCCGTGGGCCCAGACAGCTCTGGCATCAGCTGCTTTCACAGGGAAAGAGAGGAAGGCCCAAAGGGGGGTGAGTGTGCACCCAGCGGTCCAGTGAGGCGGGGTGCAGCTTCCCTGGACTGGGGTGCAGGGCACACCTGGGAGTTGGGCGCCTGTGGTGTAGACCTCCCTCCCAGACTGCAAAAGCACAGAGACCGGAGGGCCCACCCCAGGTCCTGAGTGGGGACTGGGAGGCAGAGTGCTGCTCCAGCCCTGCCCAGCACCTCACGAGAGCCGCTCTGCGTCCCACACACGGCCACGTGACCCTGGCAAGCCGCAGAACCTCTCCTGCCCTCGGTTTCTTCTGCTTCTGCTGCACTCAGTGGACAGGATAATTTGCAGACCGATGAGACCATGGGTGGGGAAGAGCCTCTGAAAACCACTAGGTGAGGGTGGAGGCCAGAGGCCTAGGCCAGGAGGCCCAGATTCTGGTCCCTGTGACCTTGAGCAGGTCTTCGTCCTTACCTGGCCTCAGTTTCCTCTTCTGTTCATGGCCTCGGTTTCCTCTTCTGTTCAGAGGTCATGGGTGAAGACAGGCTCTGAGGCCGAGAGCACTGTCCTATCACCTTTCCCAACCCCTCACCAAGTAGGGCCACTCTAGACTTGGGGGCACAGGCAGGGTGGGGAAGGTTGGCCAAAGTTTGACCGGGTCAGTGCCAGGGCCAGACTCAGCGGCCAAGGCAAGGCTGGCTGGTGGAACAGTGCCACCTGCTGTACAGAGGGGCAGGTGCAGGCGTGGGGCTGGCAGGTGGCCCAGCAGCCTGCCTACCCTGGGCCCCTCCAGCCACTCTCCAGGCCTCACTACCCTGGAGCCAGGCTGGGCTGAGGTCCCTGGGGTGCCCTAGGCCTGGCCACATATTTTGTGCCCTCCTAGGGAAGCTCTCAGCAAGGACTTCCAGTGGCCCCTGCATTTCAGTGCTATCCTGCTGGGATCTTCCACTCCTTCCACTCCAGCCCCCTAGCTTTCTGCACTGGGGGCTGGGCATGGTCGGACCACCCTGGTACCCCAATCTCTGGGTCTACAGTCTTGAGCAGCTTACCCTCCCTGAGCCTCAGACCCCTTAGGGAGGAAAACGTGACTAACAAGCTATAGCTTTCAGGGCTGTAATGACGTGGTGAACACGAATCCTCTGGCACATCTCTCACGCAAGCAGGACTCCACAGTGGCTGTCCTCGTGCACAGGGGCTCTGAGGGTCTTCTGCTCCCTCACTGCCACTCAAAGCATGGCCCTGGGCCCATCACTGGCCGAGCGGAAGCCTGTTAGAAATGCAGATTCTTGGATGCGAGGCCGAGGTGGGAGGATCACCCGAGGCCAGGAGCCGAGATCAGTCTGAACAAGAGCAAGACCCCACCTCTACAAAAATAGAAAAATTAGCTGGGTGCAGTAGTGTGCACCTGTAGTCCCAGCTACTCAGGAGGCTGAGGCAGGAGGATCGCTAGAGCCCAGGAGTTTGAGGTTGCAGTGAGCTATGATGACGCCACTGCACTCTAGCCTGGGCAACAGAGGGAGATCCTGTCTCAAAGCAAAAACAACAGCAACAAGAAAAGAAAAAAGAGAAGCGAAGCGAAGAGAAGAGAAATGCAGACTCCCGGCCCCACCCCAGGCCCACTGAAGCTGCACTTGCGTTTTAACAAGCGCCCAGGGCAGTCACGGACACTGTGAAGTTTGAGAAGCCCGGATCTAACCCAGCTAACGCTCAGCCTCAGACTGGGCTGTACCCAAACCATCCAAACGCATCTGCAACTTGCGGGTGAGCATGGGCTCTGGTCCCAAGGAACCTCAGTGTCCCTCTTAGGCTTTCTGGTTTGTCCAGGGAACAGTCACAGAAGTCCCTCCCCCCCCCTTGCTGTGACTTCAACCTCCCCTGTCCCCGCCCAATGGAAGAGAGGTCACTTGAGCCAGCATGCTTCTAACATCCAGTTTATACACAGCTCTATACAATATACAGAAACCTTTATATACAGATATATTTATAGAATAAGCTATATTAATTTGTCTCTCATTTTTACAGCAATATTAGTTTGGATCTTTCATACATTAAGTACAAAAAAGGTCGTGGGAGAATGGCACGTAGAGAGTGCGTGAGGGTCTGTGGGGCCCGGCTGCTCGCTACCGATTGCATAGGGAGTCGCCCAGGCCCCTGGGAGGACAGGCCAGCGCACGCTGGAGAGCTTGTGCTGCGGGTCTGGGGGACGGAGTGGGGGTCGGGCTGAGCCGAGCTGGGCTGAGGGGGGTGGCTCAGACCCCCCAAGTGTGGTATGGGCTGGAGGGGGAGCCGCGCAGCAGGCCCATCCTGCAGGGGCTCATGGGGCAGGTCAGGGGTGGGTCGCCCCTGGGCGTCCAGGGCTGAGTCCAAGCCTGCCCCAGCCCCAAGCCTGAAACACGCTGTGACTGCAGCCTTGGGGCTGGGGGGTCTGTCCCTGATGGCTCAGTCCTGGGCATGGGTGGGCAACACACCCACCTTCGAGGTCGAGGACCCACCCTGGCAGGGGAGAAATTAAAAGGCCAGACTTCAAGTCTCTCCCTGTGACTGGCCGGGGTGCTTGTTGGAACCTTCCTCTGATTTTAGGTTTCATCTTGGTTTTTAAAGTCTAAGGGCCACTGATTGCGTCTTGCTTCTGTGCTGGACGGAGGCTATGCCTTGCCAGGGACAGGTGTCCTGCAGTATGGTGAGGATGGGAGTCCCAGAGCATGAGGGGAGGCCCAGCTCCCAGGTCTCTGTCCCCTCTGTCAGGGTGGGCAGGTGTTCCCAGGGCAGCCATCTAGGCCAGTCCTGTGGGGGCGGGGGCCAGATACCAGTGCTCATGGGATGGGGGTCCTGGTCAGGGGAGGCTAGCCCACGCGGGAGGCGGCGGGCGGGGCCAGAGTGGGAAGGACCATGCCTCCACAGAGACAAGGCACAAGCGGGCAGTCACCCGTGCAGTCGGCGCCTCAGCACACACTTTTCCAAACCGGGGGTCAGAGCAGCAGGCGCAAGGGGAACAGATGGTGTCTGAAGCAGAGCTTGTCCCACGGCCCCACTGCACAGGTCCCATCATGCTCGCTGACTGTTTTCTGGGCAGGCTGGGAGAGGCAGCAGGCAGGGCAGGCAGGGTGGGCGGCCCCCAGCACCCCTTCCTCAGGAATGGTGCACACTCATGCACATGCACACACACACCCGACACTAGCATGCACAACCTCCCCCCTTCCTCTGGGGAAAGGCCGGGTCCACACCTCCCCAGCTGCTTCTCAAACCCAGCAGGGAAGGAACCCCTGTGGGGGCCTCAGGCTAACCCAGTACAGCCCCTGAGCCCCTGGCCCTCCTGGCCTCTCCCCTGGGCAGCCAAATCCCATGATACCCCAATCTTGGCCCCACTCCCTGCCATCAGGACATTGGGGGAGGGAGCCCAGGCCAGGGAGGAGGGAAGGCTGAGGGGGCAGAGGTGTGTTGGTGTCAGATTCCAGGGCCCAGAGCTGCCTAGGCATGATGGGGTGACCTAAAGGGGTCAGGTGGGGCCCCCAGAGGAAGTGGGCTTTGGGTGCCTTCCTTCCTGCCAGGGCAGACTCTGCAGCCAGGGTGGTCAGAATGGCGCCCACCACCCTTCGAGTGGCCAGGCAGCCAGGAAGCAGCAGGCAGGCAGGGCAGGCCTGGGGCCAGGACCCACCGACACAGGGCTCAGCACGAGGGCCACGGAGCGGAGGAGGGGCGGTCCTGACCCCACCCTCCCCCAGGACCCTCCAGGCCCCTCAGTTGTCTGGGCCTTGCTCAGAGGGGGACTACTGAACACGACTGGGCAGGATGGGGGGCTGCAGCCCAGGACACGTCCTGAGCCAAGCCCAGCAGCTTCTGTAAACATATACAGCACTGCAGGCCACCGTGGTGGGTGTCACCCCAGGGGGCTGGCCAGCAGGCACCAGATCTGGGGGGTGGCCAGGGCAGATGCCAGCCTGGACCACAGATGAGAAACGTGGGGAGGGGACTGCTCTCCATCTGGGCCCTGGGAGGGCAGCGGGAGGCAGTGATGGGGGGGCAGCTTTCCCACTGCCTGTCTAGGAACGGGGGGTGCCAGGATGTCCCCGTGGGGGCAGTTGGGCCGAGAGGGCAGAGTACAGCCCACTCGCCTGGCAGGCTGCCCCAGGCTCCTCCCTGCTTCATGCCCTTCCCATCTCTCCCCATCTGGGGGGCCAGATCCCAGCCGCCTTGGCTCTGGGGGTCCAAAGCTGAGGTAGGGATGCGGACCCCCAGCTCAGCAGCAGTGCCCCATGCCTGAGGCTAAACTGGCCCTCGGGGCGTCTCCTCAAAGCTTCCCGGCTGGAGGCAGCCAGTAGGTGCCCACAGGGCCACCTGCTCCGGCCTGGGCACAGCTGGCAGCGCGGCTGGGGTGCTAGCGTGCTGAGATGACCAGCTCATCCTGCTTGGCGGGGCTGGCCCCGCAGCCGGTGGGCGTAGAAGTCCGGACCTTGTCCGCTGCCAGGCACTCCTGGCTGCTGAGGCCCGTGGGCGTCAGGTCCATGAGCTCACCCGAGGAGCTGAGTGGGAAGGAGGGCGACAGTGAGATGCCCGAGGAGGGGTCGGCTGAGCCGGCAAAGAGCCTCGGGGGCTTGGGCACCAGGTTGGGCTCGAACTGGGCACGCAGCAGGATCTCTTGCTGGCTGGGGGACTTGGGGCCCTCGGCGTAGTCGCTGGTGGGGCTCTCGGGCACCACCATGCAGTAGAGGTCCTGGAAGGAGCTGCTCTTGCTGTCCAGGTTGAAGAGGCTGTCGATGAACTCCGCGAATTCCAGCACCTGAGGGCTGGGCGAGTCCCCCAGGCGACCGTTGTGCAGTGCCAGCTCCCCGCAGGGGGCCGCCCCGCCACCCCCACCACCCACCTCTTCCTCCTCCTCATTGGCCACACTGGGGGGCCGCTCGGGAGTGACACCCCCGCTGCCCAGGGCCACCTCCAGGGGCTGCGTGTCCTGAGAGTGCTTGGACAGGCTGTCGGCTGCCAGCAGCTCGGTGCGCGAGCTCAGGGACGGATTTTCCTCGGGGATGGCGGGGTCGATGTAGAAGAGGTGGCCCTCATCACGCTCCAGCACGGCGTGGAGGCTGGGCGAGCCGCGGATGCTGCGGAAGCCCGAGGAGCGGCGCGAGTCGAAGCTGTACAGCGACTCCGTGTCCGACAGGCTCTCCATGGTGGCCAGCGGCGCCCGCCGTGCCTGCAGCTCTGCCGCCAGCCGCTCCTGGGTGGACAGCAGCAGCAGCTCCACGGGGTCCTGGCGGGCTGCCGCGGCAGCAGGCACCGGGGACAGCAGCCGCCCCTCGGAGAAACCCTCCAGGCTCATCTCAGACTGGGACTTGCTCCTGCAGGAGGAAGGCAGGGCAGGGGCCGTGACACTCGGAAGGGGCAGAGGAGACCAGCGCCCCAGCTCCCTGGCTAGAAGGCGCTTGGCAGGAACCATGGCTACAGTTAATTCAGCAGCTGTTGAATGGTTTGGGCAGAAAATGCTTATCTTAAAACAACTCACAAGAACCCACGAGAAAAGACGAAAGAGCTGATGCTGGGTGCAGCCAGGTTGGGGCCCTGAGGGGCTAAGGCCCCAGGAACGCTGCTGGGGTCCCCTGCACTGGTACCCCTATTGCCGTACTGATGGGACACTGAGGCCCTGAGAGACTGGCTGCCCTAGGTCACTCATGAGCCCACGGTGGGATGGGAGAGACAGAGACAGGCAGGGGGAGAGGAGGAGAGGGACGGAGGGCAGCTGGGAGGGAGGGGAGAGAGCCCTGCCCAGAGCTAACCCAGTGGTCCCACTCCCCCTCAGGACCAGCATCCCTCCGTGCCACTCCCAGGGCTCCTGTCATTTCCTCCCTCATCGTGGGGTTCCTCCCGCCTCTCCCGTAGTTTGTAGCCCTCTGCTGGACAGACAGCCCTGCAGCCCCTCACTCTGTAGACCAGCCTGCAGGGAGGGAGTAGGTGGCCGCAAAAGTTACAGTGGCTGAGAATGGACACTGACTCCTTCATCTGGCCATGCGGCTGCCACAGGAAATGCACAAATGGCAAGGAGGGATGTCCAGTGTCCCTACCAAGTGCTAGGAAGCAGGGATCACCCTTCTCAGCAGCCTGTTGGCCAGATCTGTGACCGAGGGCACAGATCCTCCCCTGGAAGAGCCACTGCTTCAGAGCCTGACACCGAAGAGTATGTGCGAACGTGGAGAGTGCCTGCAGCCCGTGTGCACTCCCATGAGCACGTGTGCAAGCCGCTGTGGCTTTTGTTTTTTAGAGACAGAGTCTTGCTCTGTTGCCCAGGCTGGAGTGCAATGGCCCAATCAATCACAGTTCACTGTAATCTCCGACGCCTGGGCTCAAGTGATCCTCGTATGAGCCACAGAGCGTGGCCAGGCCTCTGCGTTTACGTGTGTGCGTGTGTAGACCAGATGTCTATGTTTGTCGTCCAGCCCATGTGTGTCTGTGTGTCTGGGTCTGGGCAGAGGCTCATTCATGCATTTACATGCATGTCTGTCGCGTGTGTCCTTGTATATGTGTGTCTCCGCCTCTTTTGGTGTGTCCTGTACACATGCATGTTTGCATGGGGCTGTGTATTTATAACTAATAATTGTGCACACATGTATTACCTACCTATGTGAGCTTCATACTAATGTGTGTGTGTGTGTGTGTGTGTTAATACGTGGACGTCCATCTGTTTGGGTCTAAGTGAGTGTGAGTGAATCTGTGTGTTTGTGGCCCGAGGTCTGTGGGTCTGTGTGTGCCTAGATGCCCCCTAGTCCACGTGGGCTTCAGGGACTGTAGGCTGGGGATAGTGAGAGCAGAGTGAGCGAGCTCCAGAGCAGAGGGTCAAGTTCAAGCCCTCCTGGGCAGAGCTTTATGAACACACATGGTCCAGTATGTGCACAGAATGCGCATGCACACGAGTACGTGCATCCCAAAACCACACACCCCAGGGCTCACCTCACGCTGCTGTTGCGGTGGTCTGCGGCTGGCAGCTCCAGGGCGAGGCCAGCAGGCATAGGCGGCCCGGTGGGGAGTGGCTGCTGCTGGAAGATGAGTTCGGGAGTCAGGTCCACCTCAGTGGGGCTCACCATGACCTTGGCAGCAGAAAGCAGAGCTGTCTTCCCCTTGTTGTAGTTCTCTAGTACCTGTGGACAGGATGGGGCGAGCTGGTGGTGGTGGAGGGGCGGCAGACCCTGCCCTGGGGCCAGAGTCGGGCAGGGGCCCAAGCCCAGGCCTCTCGGGCCACACAGAGCCTCATGGGGTCCCTTGGGTCCCGCTCTCTTTCTTCTGAGGTCCCTGCTCCTCGAGAAGGCTGGGACTTGCCCTGCAGACTGATAAGGTTGGCGTGCTCCTACCCTATGTCCAGCCTTTCAGTAGCCAGGGGGACAGCTGAGGCTGTTGCTGCTTGGTCATGTGTCTGTTAAGTGCCAGGTGGCCTTCAGGGCCTCTGAGCTTAGCCTGCCTCAGGGACACGCCCCTGGGAGTTTCCTTAATGCCTCCCCACCATGGGGCGACGTGGTGATATGGAAAGAGCCAGGGGTGTGCAGTCGAAGGACTTGAGCTGGGCTTTCTGGCCCCACAAGAACCCAGCCGTGGACTCTGGCTCAGCCACCCACCTCCCCTGAGCCTGAGCCCCCTTTTCCATGAAATGGGGACAATGATCTGACCTGCAGGGCACTTATGGGTGCTGATGAGGGGCTGCTGGGGGCTCACCTTGTTGAGGCCCTCCATGACCACGTAGGGCAGGTGCTCATGCAGCATGGCCGGCGAGATGATCACCTCGTTGAAGGCCTTGTTGTCACCCCAGATGGCAAAATAGGTGGGCTCCTCCTGCTCACAGCAGCTGAGAGGGACACAGCAGGCCAGAGAGAAGTTGAGGGGTGGGGATGGCTGCTCAGCCCTTGGCCCTCAGGGCCTGGCTCTGCCCTTGGCCCATGCAGAGCAGGGCTGGGGGTGGGTTGGAGGCCCCTGCCCAGCCTGGCCTGGCCTGGCGTGGCCTGTGCTCAGCCTGGGGAAGGCTGCCTTCAAGCCTCAGCCATAGCCCCTATGTGGCCTTCTTACCTGCTCCACCTGGGCAGGGCCCAGCTCACCAGCTTTGCGTCAGGGGGCCAGTCCACATTGGGGAGCAGGGGCCAGGGCCCAACCCTCTGAAGGAGCAGGAAGTCCGCCTACTTACCCCTCCAGTTCTCTCTCCTGCCCCAGCCACCCATCTTTGCTCATGGCTATGTGCCAACTAACCCTCTCAGTGACGCCAAGTGAAAACGGGGGTGTGAGCTGGCCAGGGCCTTAGGGGTGAGCCTTCCAGGGTCCCCACTTTCAAATGGACCATGAGTTGGGGGAGCTGCCCTGGGAACCACCAAGGAAGGGCTGACACTGAGAGAGGAGCCTGGAGTCCCACTCGGGGCTGGCCTCTTGTTCTACTTCCAGAACCCAGGCTGGGAAAACCCCCTCTGTGGGCCACTGTCTGCCAGCCTTGGCCCCCTGAGCCAGGACACGGGGCGGCACCTACCAGCACTGCTCCGCAGGGTGGTTGTGGACCACGTGGATGATGCGGCCGGGTGGGTACAGCGGGGTGCTGGCCGAAAGGGCAATGGTCAGGTCACTGGGGTGGGTCCAGAGCCGCGTGCTGGCCAGGGTGGTCACCTCCACCTCCTCAGGCAACTCTGACTTGGGGATGCATTTGGTGGCCCCCACGATGATTCGCCACTGTGTGGGGCAGCAGGGAGATGAGGACAGAGCTGAGCAGCACTGGCTGGGGGGCAGGAGCGGGGCTGCCAAGAAGGAGGGCTCAACAGGTGAGGGGGGCGGGTGACAGGAGGGAGAAGGGCAGTGGCCAGAGCAACAAAGTTGGTGCCCACCTGAAGAGGCAGAGGCTGAGGTGTATGGTGGCCAGATGGCCAATAAGATGCCAAGGACAGATGACATGGAATTGCTGAATTTCAGGGCTGGCAAGGGGCTGGAAGCCCAGCCAACCCCTCATCTAGTGGATGGGGAGACAGGCCCAGTGAGGGGCAGGGACTTCCTCTGGGTCACTCCGCAAGTCAGAGGCAGAACAGACCCCGAAGTTCAGTCCAGCCGTAGTCACCAGGGCTGGCCTGACAAATGCCCAGGACTGGGTCTGGAGGAAGCAGCTCCGCCTCCCCGGAAGCAGCCCCTCCTGTAGATGTGGTCCCACAAAGCTCTGCGGCCCTGCCCACTGCCTGGAGCCTGCTACCTGGCCCAGGGCCCTGCCTGCCACAGGGTCACGGGCACCAAAGCTGGGAACAGTCCAGACTGGGCTAAACCAACAAATGGGGGTGAGGCCTACCTGGGGGTGGGGGGTAACGGGGTGACCTGCTAGTCTACACCTGCCGCCTCCTGCACCTGGCCTGCTTCAGGGTGCCTGGCCTGGCTGCCAAAGGCCGACTTGGCACCGGAAGAGCCCCCTAGTGTCCTCTAAAGCCCTGGTGTGGATTAGGAAGGGCTGACCCCCTCCTCTTGCCACTGCAGAAAATCGGAACAAACTGTACCCAAATCCTCTCCACAGGGCATTTCCAGCTTGCCTGAGCCTGGGAGTCCCAAGAGGCTCCCACAGAGGCCCCCCCTTCACCCGCTCACAGCGCTAAGCCTCAGGGATCGCATTCTCCTGACTTCGGGCAGTTCTGTGTGACAGGAGTCCTGATTCCATTATAACTTGTCATGTGAGCAAAAGCAAATCCCTCCCTCTCTGGGCCTCAGTTTCCCCATCTGCACAATGACAGGGGTCGGATGGGTTGAACTTGGAGATGCTGAGGGTCTGATAGCCTGAAGTTCGACAACACCAGTCATACCCAGCCCCGGCCACGGCTGTGGCCTCTTGTGCTTTGTCCCAGGGGACTGGCGGGATAAGGACAGGGACAGACAGGGCTGCCGAGGCCTGGGTGCCCAGGCGGGAGCTCACTTTGGGCTTGGTGCTTCGCTGTAGCACATCCAGGAGCTGTCTGCGGAAGCCTTCCAGCTGCGACAGGCCAATCCTGGGGAGGGCGAGAGATGGGCCTGGTCAGCTGGACCCGGCCACAGGCTAGGAGGGGTGGAGGGCGAGGGAAGTGGGGACAGTGGGGGCAGGCGCACGCCCAGCCCGCAGTAGGACCAGTCAGCCCGGATCCCAGGGGTGGAGGGCAGCCTGCGGCTCAGAGAGCAGAGCTGAGGAGGGCGAGGAGGCTGTCTTCACCTTGGCAGCTGAGTGTGGGATGGGGGCCCTGGGGTCCCTAGGGAGACGTGGGAGCTGGGACTGAGAGAGTGGGGTGAGACCCGGAGGAGGAAGGAGTAGCCTGGCAGGGGCCCATGGGCAGGGGTGACTCGCCTGGGGACGAGGTCTTTGCCCAGGACCACAGCAGTCACAAATTCCTTGGAGTACTCCATCGCATCCTCGCTGCAAGGGAAACCGAGGTGGAGGCTGAGCCGAGGGAGAGGGGCCGTGGTGCTCCCTAGCTCCTGCGCCTGCCACTGCACCCCTCCCCTAGCTCCTGCGCTCGAGGCCTTCTGGGGAGCTGACAGGTGCCAGGCTGGGCTGCCTGCTCCCCGCTCTGCCTCCTGCTGCTAAGGCTGGGGTAGATCCCAGGGTCCGCACAGCATTTTACAGAGTCCCCACCACCTCCACGCTCCAGCCACCAGGCCGTCCCCAGGCCTCCCTGTGACCGAAAGCCAGACTGCCCAGTCCGGCCCTCAGCCCCCACCGGTCCTACCTGCCCCGGCCAACCCGGAGGCCCCAGACCACTCACCTGAGCAGGCCCCCTGGCGGGGAGTAGGCAAAGCACTTGAGGGTCGGGTACTGTGGGCGCAGAAGGAAGGAGAGGATGGCAGCAGTGCCTGCGCCCAGGGAGTGGCCCACCACGATCAGGCCGTAGTGTTTGGTTCCGCGGCCCTGGGGACAGAGAGAAGCCTGAGTGCCCTGCCCCACTGCCTGCCAAGTAGACTGCCTTAGCCGACACCAGGGACACAGAGGGTCCTCCCAGAGTCCTGGGATCATGTCTGCGTTGCGTGGATGCTGGGGCAGAGGGGGAGCCAAGCTAGGTCCCCACAGAGCGACTGCCTAGGGAGACTATGCTAACAAACCCCCATGCATCCTTCAAGGCCTTGCTCAGAGGCCCCGTCCAGGGAAGCCCTCCCTGACTTTCCAGGAGCGGCTCCCTCGCTCCTAGGCCTCGCGTCTGTGCCTGGGGTAGACCTTTTAATCGCCATAGTGGTTACGTTACACTCTGTTATAATCATTTGGTTACCTGTCCCCATCCCCTTCTACCCTGACTACTGGACTGAGTCCCCTGAGGCCAGGGGCTGCTTTGCTTTGGAAAGGGCAGCTGGCGGCCTTGGGAGTGGCAGTGGGCAGGGCTCAGGTCGCCCCCAAGCGAGGCAGCACTCCTCCTATCTGCTTTGTGATTACTTTGTCGTTCCGCTCCATATTTTGAGCTGTTCCACAAAATTTCCTTCTGATGAATGGTTCTGTAGCTATGAGGCTTAGAAGCCACCCAGCCCAGATCATCTTTGTGTCTCCAGTGTCTGGCACAGAGCAGGTGCCCATGAGTACAGGTGGGACCAAGCAGGGCCCCAGGAGGAGCTGGCACAAAGGAGGAGGGGTCGGCAGGACCGAGCAAGGAGCGGGTGGGAGCCAGCGTCAGATGGGGCATAGGGCTGGGCCGGTGGGGGCAGAAGCGAGGCCCCATCATTTGTCCCCTCCGCTTTGCAGCCTTGCCGGAGGGCTCGGTGGCATAGGAGATGCCTCACCAGGTCTCGCCCGAAGGCCTGGGACAGGACCATCTCCTGCTCCAGCTTCTTCTTGATGTACTCAGCTGAGAGGACCATTCCCTGGTGAGGAGGAACAGAGGGGTGTGTTGAAGGGAGGCCTCCCAGTGACCCCCAAACCACAGGCTGCAGCTCACTAACCCTGCCCCGCCCACTTTGGTCCTCATAACAGCCCAGCTGTAGGGGCCGAGGGACACTAATCACATCATTTCCACTTCACGGATGAGGAAATTGAGGCTGAGAGGGGTGATGTCCAGTAGAAACTGGTGTGCTCTCTTCCCAGCTGCCTATTTGGCTTGGGCAGGGCTCTGGGGGTCTCAGTGGGTGGGCTGCAGTGGACTCTCCAGATGAATCTACAGCTCTCTGACCCATCTCTCCCAGTGCGCCCAGCAAGCTGGGAGGAACTGCCAATAGCAGTACACATTTGCGTGCTGGCAGGGGAGGAGACGAGGCAGGGGCCCCCAGGGCGGGGTACCTTGTGGCCCAGCCAGGTGCCGTGGTGGCCCTCCACAGGGAGGCGCTCAGCATCGCCGGTCAGGTCGGTCAGGGCATCCTGGGGGCGAGAGAGGAGACAGGTGAGGGGGTGCTGAGAAGGACAGGAAGAGGGAGGCAGGCACCCCCAGGGGCTGGGAGCCATGGGCAGCGTACCTTGGGGGACAGGGTCCCCCGGATACTGATCACCACCTTCTTCTTGTCATGGTCCACAGCCACGTAGAAGGGTGTTTCATAGACCTAGGAGGTGGGCAGCTTGTGAGCCTGAGTGGCCTCTGGATGGGGCCAGACTCGGGGAAAGTGACCTCAGCATCTATTTCCTGGCCAGGAAATCGGGCTCTGCCCGCCATGGGGCCCTGGCCACGTGCAAGACTGACGGGCTCCCAGGGTCACTGTATTTCCTGCCCATCCCCAGCACACAGGCCTGCCTCGCCCTCCCGGCTCCTCACCGACTCGGGCAGCCCTGAGTGCTGCCATCCTGCATGCTGAGTCCAGATGGATGGCTGCCCCTCCTCGAAGCCTTGCTGCCCCTGCCCTCATTCCCCTTTCCCAAAGGGCTGGGGCCGGGAAACCCCAGTGCTAGGTGTGGGGTTGGTGTCCACTTTCTCTGCCCCAGAGCTGGTGCTGGCCAGGGTCTGGGAAGAAGGAGGGGCCCACCTCTGGTCTGCTCAGCTAGGGGAGGCCATGAAGGATGGCCTCCGCAGCCCAGGCCTTTAGCTGCCTGCTCCTGGCAACACCAGGCCCCAGCCCTGCCTGGCCCCAGCCCACGCTCACCGCGTCATGGCATGAAGTGTAGACGATGTCCACCGCAGTCATGTTCTCGTCCAGGAAGTGGCGCCGGATGGCAATGGCATTACAGCCGCAGCAGTTGTCTTCCTCAATGGTGACTCCAGGGGCGAACCGGGGTCTTGCAGGGCACAGGCAGCACCTGGGGCGGGGTGGCAGAGAGCTCGGGGCCAGGGAACCTCTGACAGAGCAATCTTCTCCTGCCCTCCTCCCTGGAACCAGCTCCGGTTGGGCTTTCATCCCGACCCCTTCTCCTAAATCATCTCCAAAATGGCCCTTGCTAAGTCCTGGGTGAGCTCCACACTGCCGAATCCATTGGCCCTTTCCAGTCCTCTGACTGGAGCTCTTGACAGCCCCTGACACAGGGCCCCTCCTCTCCTGGATCTCTCCTCCAGGCGGGGCCTCCTCACGGCACCCCAACGCTGAGGGCCCGGGGCCAGCCCTGGGCCGCCTCGTCCCTCCAGCTGTGCTCGCTCCTCTGTGTGCTCATCCCGCCTTGGGCTTAAGTGCAACCTGTGCTCCTGTGCTCGGGACTCCACTCCAGACCTGCTCCGACCTCTAGGTACTCCACCCAACCACCTATGCAACTTCCGGGTCCCAAAGCCTGCCCCTGGCTGCCCACCCCGTCCTCCCAGGGCCTTCCCTGGGCCCACCAGGTGCTTGGCCTCTCCTGCCACAGCCATGCCACTCAGTCAGCACAGCCACTCGGCTTTACCTTCAGACTCGGGGCTGGACCCCAACTGCTCCCTCGCCTCCACCCCCTCCCTCTATCTGCCCGGGAGTAGTGCAGTGGCCGTGACCAGCATCCCTATCTACGCCTACCCCGGACGTTCTCCATTCAGCAGCGGAGTGACCCTTTTAAGATAATTCGGGCCATGCAGTGACACCCTGCCCACCCCACCTGGCCTGGTCTCTCCACCTCCTTGCCCTGTTCAGACGCCTGGACACAGTCGCGCCCGACACGGTCCTGCCTCAGTGTGTTTACATCTGCAGCTCCTTGTGCCCAAGTGCCCTTCTGCCCTCGCTTCCTCAGGCTTCTGTTCAAATGTTACGGTACAGGGACAGCTACCCTGGCCACCCTGTCTAGCACAGCCAGCCCTCCCCTGCCCCTGACGTTCCCCATCCCCACCAGGAACCCAGCTTTCTGTCTGCCCGAAGCCCCTATCTGCTCCCACATGCTACGTATCTCCTCGTCTGCATGCTGTCTGCCTCCCTGCTGGGCAGTGAGCTCCTCAGAGCAGGTTCACAGCTACATCCCAGTACCCAAAATAGCGCCAGGCACATGATAGGCCCCGAGAAAGTGAAAGGGAGCCTCTGCGCTGGGCACCCACCTAGGCGCGGCTGCTCCCCAGGCCACCAGAGGGAGCCAGCACCCAACAGATCGGGCACCAGCCCCCGGAGCATGTGACCGGCCTGCCAGCTGTCATGGGGAAACAGCTGAGATTTTAGTAAGAATCCTGAATTTTGGTGACATTGGGAGGTTTGTCTCCACTCGGAGGAGCAGCACCTGTGGGCCCGTTACACACTTTCCAACAAGGAGAGGCCTCGCTAAGGAAGCCACTGGGCCTGGGGCTAGGAGATGGCCCAGTGCATGCTGGGAGAGCTGGGCCCACACGCTGCCAGGCCAAGCAGCAGCAGGCCTGGGTCTGGGGGTCTGGGGGCCTGGGCACTCTGCAGCTGTCCTCTCTCCAACCGCAACTGAGCATGAGGCTGTAATAGCGTGGCCTCCGGAGCCTGGGGACAAGTTTGAACCCTTGCTCTGGTGTGTCACCTCCTGACCACGAGGGTTCTAAGCCTCAGTTTCCTCCTCTGTAGGAATGATGCTGACAGCTACTTCGCGAGGCTGGTATGAGGTCAAAGGCCCAAGATGCAGAGAGGGCCTGGTACACACCTGGTGCTTAGTAAGTGGTGGCTCCCGCTCTCTCCAGAGAGACGGCTGCCTCTGAGTCGGTGATCTGAGGCCCACAGCCTGGACAGCAGAAGCCCCGCGGCGTCCTCCAGGGCCGCACGCCCACCCTGAGGAGGCTGTGGGGCCTGAGCACCAGCCTGGTCTCTGGAAGGCCGTCTCCTGCCGGCGGAGGGAGACCTACCACACATCCAGGGCATGGTGCAGCTGAGCGGGTCTCCCGAGGGCTTGCTGTGCTCCAGGATGGAAGAGCTCCCACCAGGTGAGAGGCCTGGCCCCAAGGCATGTGGGCAGCCCTTCCTCTGACTGGCCCTGGGAGCCTGGCCTCTGTGGACAGCCTGGGGGGCTGAGACAGGAACTGGCCTCTGACCTCCGTCCTGCCGTCCTGGTCTGTGGGCCTGTGCTGCAGGCCTGCCTCCTCTCTGCCCACAGGCACCTGGTCCTTCCAGGCAGGGGCCTGCTTGGCCCTTATGGGGTCTGAGGACCCCCTGCGCTCTCTCTCTCTCTCTCTCTCTCTCTCTCTCTCTGTAGCACTGAAAAGTTCTGACACAAATGCCAACGTCCCTCCTGTCTGCAGGGCGCCAATAGCCCAACCTGCCAGTGACTCTCTAGACTCTGAAACACCGTAGGGGCAGGTAGGACAGACACCACCAGTTACAAATGAGGAAACTGAGGCCAAGAGATGTTCCGCCCTGCCAGTGAGTAATGGAGCAGGGCCTGCCAGAGCCCCGGTCTCAGGACTCCTGGCCTGGTGCTCATTTTGAGAGCTGGGACTCCCAAGGATACTCAGAAGAATGCCAGGCACGCGCAGCTGGCAAAGGTGGGAAGGGGGCATGAGGTGCCCTGGTCCTCTCTGATCAGCCGCTGGAGGTGGTGAGCACAAGGCCCCGAGAACCGCCAGCTTTCTGGAGAGGAAGGCACCGCAGGGCAGCCGCGGCTGCTCTGGGCCCCAAGGGCAGGGGTGTCGAGGACAGCAGTTGCTCGCCCAGCATGCCAGCCTTTCTGGAACAGGAGCCCAGGGAGCCGTCCTCCTTCTGCCTGGCATGGGCTGAGGTGGAGACACCAAGGACGGGGAGGTGTTCTCCCCGGAGCAGGTGCCCTTCTCTGGCCCACTTAGGGGAACAGAGTCCTCCCACGCCCCAGGTGGTGGGTTGGGGCGGAGCCAGGCTGCAGGCCAGGTCTGGGGCTGGGGCCCTTCCCGGCTCCCTGTGAGGAAGGCTGGAGCCTTTAAAGGGTCTTCTTGGTGCCTTTCCAGAGACCCCTATGGGTTGGGCCTCCCTACCAGGAAGGTGCTTTCTTCCAGAAAGGCAGAGCCCAGGAGGGGAGCTGAGAGAAGGAAGAATGTGGACAGAAGGGAATGCTTGAGGGGGCAGAGAGAAATCCAGACTGGGAGGGAACCAGCAGTATGGACATTACACAACATCTCTTTTAGTCCTCTCCAAAAAAATGCTATGAGGCCTCAACATTCCCATTTCACTGATAAAGACACTGAGGCTCAGAGAGGTAGACCAACCTGCCCAAGGCTGCAAGTGACAAGTCTGATTCACACCCAGAATTGTGTGATTCCAAAGTCCACGAGGCCACTGCCAGGGATAAGGCAGAACTAGAAAGGCCCAGAGAAGGTGAGGAGGAGAGCACTGAGGCCAAAGGCAGGAAGGAGCAGGGCAGTGGGCATAGTCCCATTTAGGGAGACCCCCCTCAGGCTTCCAGCTTCATGGTCTCAGCCTCTCCTCGCACATAGGCTGGGACGGGGGTGTCATTGTGCTGGGGACGAGAGGGTACTCACGAGCAGGACCGAGCCAGCTGGCAGAGGCCGCAGGCGGGCTTCCGCATCAGGTACATGGGCCACCCGTAGGCGGCCAGGGCAAACAGCATGTAGTAGCAGACCTCTTTGTAGCGGAGCATCTCGTGCTGGAAGAGAGGAGGCGGAGGGTGGTCACCTCCTGCCCTCCCTGCCTGCAGCCCCCCGGGCCCTGCAGAGCCACCCCCCAGAGGGAGGGGCCGCTGGTGTCCTCCTGAGACGTGGGGCTGGCCTTGGTGGAGGGACCGCTCCTCCAGACGCTAATTGCATTTCCCTAATTATCTCCATGCAACCAGGGCACGAATCCTCCTGAGACCTGTCCTGTTGCTCCAATCTCACAATTAATGATTTGGGGACAGAAAATCACTCGGAGCACTGGATCGATTTCCTTGCCTGTTTTCCAGAGGAGGGAAGAGAGCGAGGGGCATGAGTAGCAATCACCCCACCTCAGCAACCGGGCCCTGACAAGGGACTTTGCTGCTGGGAAAATTTAACCCTGAGAGGCCCCGGGTCCTCCAGCTGCGGGTGTCCAGGCCTTGGGCAGCAGGGCGGGCCTTGCTGGGCAGGAGACCAAGTCTCTCTGGTCCTCAGTTCTTTGTCTGCAATGCAGGGAGACTCCAGCTTGACTCACGGAGCCACAGCCGCCCAAGGCTCTGGGGAGGGCCTGCGTCTGGGGGAGATTGGATCTCTCTGGAGAAAGGTGCCAGTTTGGAACCCAGTGTGTCTCTGCTGTTGACACCACAGTGGTTATCAGCTGCTGGGCTGTAGGGAGGCCGGAGGCAGAGGTGTCCCAGCCAAGCTTCCAGTCTTTCCCGAGTGCCCCAGGCACCAGGAAGACTCAGCACTTAGAGGGAATTAGTCACCTTGTAAAAGTTAAGGAGGGTGATTAGTCACCTTGTGAACTGAAATAGGTAGTGCCTTAATCAGGGCCCAGAGGGGTGGAAGCCTCCCTGGGCCAGCTCTGTCTGCTCTTCAGGAATGAGAGCAGAGGGGTAATTGAGGGGTAATTATCCTCTCAGCTGGGAGCTCTCTGGAGGCCGGGAGGGCGGGGCCGGCGCTGGCAGCCTCTGCCAGGTGGCAGGTGTGGACCCCAGCACCCCAACGCACGCAGCTACGTGCCCTGGCCCCTCCCCCAGCATGAGGGGTGGCAGAACAGCCAGGCAGACCCCAGTAAGCGGAGACGAGCTGGTCTGTGGCACCGGCTGTGGACACGGCTGTTTTTAGCGAGGACACAAATGCCTGCTTTGGGGTGTGGGGCAGACGGGGAGAGTGAGGCTTTTCCAAAGGACTGGGATTTCTAAGGGACTGAATCCCTTCTAGCGGCATCCTGACCAACACCGTGCTGGGACCTGGACCTGCGTGGTCACCTCCTCCCAGCACAGCTCTGCATGCAGTGTGTGCCTGGTGTCATTTCACAGACGCAGGGACGGCTCAGAAGGGATGGGGACTTGCTCAAGGCCACGGAGGCAGGTGGTGGAGCAGACACACACCCGAATCGGTTTGCTTCCAAGGCAGGGCCAGCCTCTCCCTGCTGCCAACTGTGGTTTCCATGGGACCAGCCCCACCTTTCCCTGTAACACACTGGGTTCCTGCGAAGGGCGCTTGAGAAAAGGTTCTCCTACTAAAAAAGCCTGGGCACCAAAGTGCTACATCCCACTGCCTTTTACAACAGCAGCAGCAACAATAATAGCAGCTCACCCTCAGAAGCACTTTGTACCCTCAAAAGGCCAGGACCAAACGTTTCTGAGCTTGGCTAAGGGATTCGGGGGATTGTTTGTGGAACCAGTGTGACGTGGGGGTTCCTGTGGGGGCACGATCTGAGCGGGCCGCCTCCCGCAGAGCCCACAGGGAGACTGGTCAGGTGCCATGCGGCCAGCCCTGGGAGGGCAGCTGGGAGGGGTCTGCTTAGGTCATTCTGGCCGAGAGATGGACAGGGCGTGGGGTGGGAGGCGATTTCTGACTCACCGAGTTCTTGAGGTCGAGGTACTTGGTGTTTCTGGTCACTGGCATCCCAGACAGGAAGGCCAAGATGTCATTGTTTGCCTGTAAAGCAGACGCGTGAAGAGGGGCACCTGTTGCCCCTCACCCAGCTGCATGGCTGAGAAACGGGGTCCAGGCCCCGGGTTCTGTCGCTTCCCAAAGGCCTGAGAAGCCCATAGGAGCATGTGGCTTCTCGCTCTTCCAAAGTGCAGTCAGTTTTCCAGAATCTGACATTTCCCCGTATTTCCAGTTGCTCCCCTTCTACCCGAAGCGTCACAGCCCTGGGGATGCTCCAAGCCCTCACTGAGGGGAAGGCACTCGGTCTGAGATGCTGAGAGACCCTAACTGGGATGGATGTGTCTGTCGGCAGGGACGCGGGGGTGGGATGGAGTGGCAAACGCAGAGGCCTGGAGCTCAAAGCTGGCACCACTCACTAGGCCCCTGTGATTAGAAGTCCTTGGGGGCCGGCCCCAGAAGCAGCCGCACATGGCCCGGAGAGGGAGGCCGCTCACGCAGTAGTCATGGGAAGGCTGGCTGAAGGACAAGTGGGGGGTGGTGAGTAGCAGGTGACCTCTAGGACCCAAAAGGGTCCGTGACCACTGGGAGCCCGCAGGATGGGGCCTGGGAGGGTGGTGCGGGGAGACTGCCTGCAGGAGGGGCCGCGACGCTCACCTCGTCCAGCACAGCGTTGCGCTTGGCTCGCTGCCGCTGCCGGAGCAGCACCAGGCCAGCAATGATGTCGGACGGCACGATGTCGAGGTCCCGGAAAAACTCAGCAAAGAGGTAGGCGATTTCCGAGTAGGCATCCTATGGGTCCAGGAAAGCAGAAGGCGGTGGCAGGGGAGCAGGAGAGAGCACGAGAGACCAAGAGTAAATCCCCTGGGGCTGGGTGGCTGGAGAAGCAGGTGTCTGCTATGGGCTCCCTGGGCAGGTTCGCCCTGGCACCTCTGCAGCACCAGCTGGCTCTGACCCCAAGCAGCCCCCTGCAGCTGTGGCCCTGAGGGCCCTGTCTGGGTGCTGGGCCCCCACAGACCTGGCAGTCACTGTCAGGGACAACACTGACCCTTCTTTCTCTGCTGCCTGGCCCTCTTCTCTCCTGGGAGTCCCTACAGCTGTCCCTGTCTACCGAGCCACCCCCTTTTCCTTTCGCTTTCCCTAGACACCAGGAGTCATGGCCCGGATGGCCCTGGCTTCTTTCTCTTGAGCACAGAAACCAAACTAAGCTCCTGGTTATTTCCGCCCCACCAGCTGTGACCTTGGAAGGATCCCCCTAAGGGCTGTGTGGCTCCCCCCAGGTCTCAGGTCTTCTCCCCCAGCTGCCCTGGGCTGCCGGCTCAGTGACCGCCACAGTGTGCCCGAGAAGGGGTGTTACTGCCAGACCAGTGGCCCATCTGGCTTCTCTCTAGGCCCCTGGCCTGAGGACAGCCATGTCTGGGCCCTGGGTAGGAGGCGATGTAGACGAGGCAAGCCCTGCAGGACCGTATGCTCTGCGTCTTCCCCGCCTCGGGTCACACTGGAGTCTGGAGCGTCCTCCCTAACCCGTCAGGAGAGACTGAGGTGGGAGCAAACCCAGGGCAACTAATTCTATTTCACCGGGTCTCACCCTTGAGTGTCTGGCACTTGCAAGAGAATAAATCAAGGGCTGCAAACTCAAACGCCTAATGGGGCCGGAGCCAGCTACTACTCAGCCCCAGCTGACCGGCCCTGGGAGAGGGCCTGCACTGCCAGATTCAGAAACACAGGCATTTGTGTAAACACCCTGATTTTTAAATGTTGGCATCCAATTCACATTTTTAAGCAACACAGCACAGGCTGATCAAAACGTGCTTTGGATGGGAGCTGGCCCCCAGGCCGCCAGCACCTAACGGGCCCCTTGCTCTGGGGCTCCCCAGGGATGTGCTCCCTTTCTCCTTTTTCATGGGACTGAGGACAGCCCTGACTCTGCCCGTGTGCCCGGGAGGGGTGGGTGTGCCGTGGACGCCCGGCAGACCCAGCCACATCTGCTGGGGGCTGCTCCCTGCGCTCTGCATGGCCGGCCTGCAGCCCAGGCCCTGGGCTGTGACCCCTCACACCTCCCCGGAGAGAGACCCGTGGGGGTGTTCCCCACCCGCCAGGAGACCTCAGGGGCTTTCTTACACTTGATTACTCACTCTACGGCTCACCAGGGGCGGCTGGTGGGGAGGAGCCACTCGAGGCTTCCCGGTGGCTTCCGTGGAGGGCACTTTGCTGTCTGCCTCAGGGAGCTGTGGTCTCCTGACCTCACTGGCTCTGCCACTAACTAGCTGTGGGACGCTGAGCAAGTCAGTCCACCTCTCTGGGCCTCAGCTGCCTGATCTGCAAAACGAGGGTGGGACTAGATGATCTCTAAGCTCCCTGCCTTACTGCGGGGCGCCCCTTGAGGATCCCAGGGCCCTGCTCCCCCAGGGGCCGCCCCCAGCTGACCCTGCCTTCCTTCTGCAGCACCTGGGCACCACCAGGTCTGGCCCCTCTGGTCCCTCCTCAGAGCTCCCAGGCGTGGGAGGCCAACGCTGCCCAGGACCGTGTCGAGCAGTTTACGGCCTCACCAGATCTTCCAGCTGATTCGCGGTTGGTGACAAGCTACTTTTCTCTGCCTCCGGGTTGCCCTGACTTTCGGGTATTTCTTCTCCTAAACTAGGCTGTAAGTTCCAAGGGGGTCAATGCAAAGTCTTCACAGCTCTCTGCTCCCTTGCCAAGCAAGTGGACAAAGCGGCGTCTTGCATGCTGAAGGGAGTTGGTCCGTGACAGTCCGTCACGTGAGCAGGCTGTCACCTTGCACACGCTGGGAGCCCAGCTCCCTTCCACCAGCGCTGCCCCACCCGGCTTTGCCAAATGAGCGAAAGGCCCCTGAGTCGTCTGGCCACATGACGTGAGCCCGAGGGAAGCGACTTTCCAGTACTTACTGACTGGGAGTCCTTTGTCCGGGTGCAGCAGAGGAACACTTTGAGCCGGCGCGACCAGCTGGTGGCCTGACCCTCTTCTAAGCGGTGCCTGCAAAGGCAGAGAGCCGTTGCATGTGAGGCCAGGGGGCTGCACCAGAAGAGCTGGGCCCAGACGTTGTGGAAACAGGGCAGCCTGTTCTCCAAACCCTACCAAAGGGCTCCCCAGCAGCGGGTCTGGGGGAGAACAGGGCCCAGGCCCCGCCAAAACTAGATGGCCAGTGACGTGGCTATCGGCCAGTAGGGGCACTCCCCGGCAGACTCTGCCAGCCTAAGACGGAGTGTGCTGTTGGCCAAGGGTAGCGGGGGACGCTCCATGGCTTTCGGAAGACTGAGCACAGGCATGCCCCGGGGACTTCAGGGCCAGGAGCCCAAAGTGGGGGCTACCCTGCAGCCCAGGTGTCCAGAGGCTCAAACCAAGCGCCCTGGGAGATGTCAGCAGGGTGTTGGGCCTCTCTGCCATCTTGTTCCAAGGCCTAGAACAGACCTGTCAGACAGACCTGCTTCTCCCCAGAAAGGATTCCAGATACTCACAAACTCTGTACTTACAGGAAATTTATGGGCTAAATGAGCCTCTGCATTTCCCAATTCCTTGGATCTACGAGCTAAGCAGGGGGAGGGCTCCCACTCCTCACGGGCACGGCTGCCCCGTCCACTCTCCCCCACCCGCCCAAGGGCCTGGCTCCTTGGATGGGGAATCAGGGTACCCAGGGGTCTGCACCCAAAGGCAGAGCAATGGGCCAATTATCCACAAGGGGCTCCTCCAGCGCTGGGTGTCCAGAAGCCAGCGTGTTTGAACATAAAGATAATAGATCCGACGATAAAAACGCTGGCTTGCGTTTGTGTCATGTGCTGGCCCCTTCAAAGCCTGGTGCTGGGTGGTGAGGAGGGGAAGGCAAGAGTGGCGTTCAAGGCACTTAATATTCTTCAGGAGTGACAGGCCAGGCTCTCCTCGAGCCTCTTGGCTCCTCTCTGTGGCCAAGGAACACTTCCTGCTCCCAAACCCTGGCTGCACTAGGCAGTTGGCCACAGGGAGGAGAGCCACAGGGTCTTCCAGGGCTGTGGGAGGGGCTTAGGAAAGGGTACAAGGGAATTGCTGCTTGGGGGATCTGCCAGCTCTTAGGGACTTGGGCAGCCCTGCATCCTAAACCAACCTCCCGCCTTCCAGGGGCTTGATGTAGGAACGGGGTACTGGCCAAGCTGGGATCCCAGAGCATTACATTCTTTAGAGCTTTCTAACCTAATGGGGGTCAAAGAGAATTTCCCGCTGGGTCCCTGGCCTGATGAAAGTGCCGACTCTATACTGTACGGCAGTAACATTTATAAACACCAGGGGGCAGATGATTTCAGGAATGTCAGTGAGAAAGTGAGAGTTTTGGTCTAGTGCATCAATAAGGCTACCAAGACCAAGACAGGGAGCCACATACCATGTCTGGACAGAAAGTTCCTGGGCCCTGCGGCCCTCTGCCCCACAGCTCGCTAAAGTGAAAGGAGGGCAGACATTCCGGCTGCAAAAATCCAAGGTCAAGGCTTCCAGGGAGCAGTGCTGGGAATAACCACCCTCAGATATTACTGGAAGGAGAAAGGGCCAAGGGCTTAAACAGCAACCAGACTTGCAAAAATCAGAAAACCTAATAGTGTGGGGCAGCGGGGTCCCCATGTTGGGAAGTTGCTGGCTTGAAAATGTCCTTGGAAACACTATTTGTAAGTTTCAGAGCAGAGGGAGAGCAAGTGAAGACCGTTCTGAGAGGTGGTCAGACTTAACCAAACCCCATAGCCTAGGCTGTCCTCCCAACCCCACACAAGAGCTGCAGAAACCACAGCAGGTCGCGAGCCTGTGAACTCCAGCGCCTCTTATGCAGCTTTGCGGGCCCTGAGAGCTGCAGGAAAGCTTTCTAATTACAATGACAGTGACTGACAGCCCCCACTGCAAAGGCACTGGCTGCCCTGGCCCCAGAGATAATCGCCACAATCAGGAAGGGAAGATTTCTTCCCAGGACTCAAGGAGCCCAGAAAGCAGGTCAGGTGGGGACGTGTGCTCAGAGTGAACGAATGGGATGGGGGTGGTGGCCAGCTGTGCTGGGAGGGAAGATGGCCTCCAGAGCCTTGGCTCCCAGACCTGACGTTTTGGGCTGGGAGGTGGCCAGGCCAGGCATGGGTGTGGCTCTGGCTGCAGTGCAGAGCCGACGTGGAAGGTCGAGGGGAGCTGAGCGTTGAGGCACAGGAGGGTGGGATGGGGAGAATTCCTGCCGGACGGGGCGCCTGGGCAGCCGGCTCCCGGGTGACGGCTGCTGAGCCAGCTGCTCTGGGCTGCAGAAGGAGTGCCAGTTCCGCACCCCACCAACGCGACCCAGGGCGAGTGACCTGCCTTCTCTGGGATTTGGATTCCTCATCTGCAGAATGGGTCTCACAACTGCATCGGCAAAAGAATTGGCAAAAGAATTAAATGGACTGATTGTGTAAAGGGCTCAGCATCAGGCCTAACTCAGCAGCTCAATTAAGGGGAGTTACGTGGACCCACCCTGGAAGCCCCCCTTTTTTCTTTCAACAAACAGGAATTACTGTAACCCTGCCTGGGTGCCCACCCTCATTTTCTCTGCGATGGCACTTCCCCCGTCTTTAAAACGTCATGCAAAACTCACCCCCTCCAGGAAGGCTTCCTTGATTAACCTCTTCCAACCCCTGAATCCTAAAGGCAACCTAACCTAGTGGTTAGGCAAAGGCTCTAAAGTCAGACTGCCTGGGCTGGTTCCCAGCCTCACCATGTACTAGCTGTGTAACCTCAGGTGACTCACATAACCCTTCTGCACCTTGGTTTCTCCAACTGTATTCTAGTTGGAGCAGATGACAGCTAACTCATGGAGTTGTGATGTACTATATGCAATGCTTGGCTCGGTTTATAAGTGTCTGCTACTATTATTATCTTTGTTATTGGTGCTGATAACAATGATAACAACAGCTACCATCTACTGAGCACTTACCAAATGTGAGCATCGTGTTAGCCACTTTGCACGTTTTATCTCATTTAAACCTCACAACAACATCATGAGGCAGGAATTGCTATTGTGCCCACGTTACAGACACGGACACTGAAGCGGGGAGAGGTTAAGCCTTTGACTAGTGCCCATGGCTCCCATGAGGCTGACATGCAGTTTGGGAGGCCTGGGGCAGCCTCCTGGAGAGCAGAGAGCTCCCCTCTGCCCACTGGTCAGCAAAGCCCCCCGGGGGGCGGCCCACCCACCCAGCTGACTGACCGCAGGTTGTAGGTCCGCAGGTTGCGCTGCCTCCTCTTGGTGGCTCTCAGCTTGACGAAGGTGCGGCCCGTGGGGTCGAAGACGCAGAGGACAGTGATGCAGACGCTGAGGATGACCACCCAGTTGCAGACAACCATCCCTGGGGGGCGGGGGCGGCAGTGGGAAGCAAGGGGTGGAGATGTTGAGGACACCTTCCAGGCTCACCAGCTCTGAAGGAAGCGAGCCTCCCTACCCCCAACTACGTCTGGGGCCCAAGAACAAGGCTCAGAAGGCCCTGGTCCCAGCCTCTGGCCACATATGTGACCAACCACTTACTGAGTCGTGGCCCCAAGTCCCACCCTTGAGATGGAGCAGGAGGCTCTAGGGGCTCCCAAGGCGGGGTTGAGGAGCCTCAACTGTTGCCCCAGGCAGCTCTGGGCCTGCTGCTGCCTCCCAGACCAGGGTCCCTGAGGGTGGGTGGCCGACCGCAAGGATGAAGAAAGCAGCCTCGCCCAGCCAACCTGCTGGGCACCCACACAGAAGCTGATGCCCTCTGGTGGGGCCCAAGCTTCTTCCCCTGGAAACTGATCCTGTTCCTTCCACTCCTAGGGCTTGCTGAGGCTCCAGCAGGCCTCGCCCAGGCGTACCGAGAGTGACGTTCTTGGCAGTGAGGTCGTTGCAGGAGGTGTAGTACTGAGTGAGCCAGACGATGCCCACGATGGCGTAGATGAACTCGATCACCAGGATGGCTGTGAGGAGAGTGGCCTGGCTGAAGGATGGCCGCCGTCTGCCCGCCAGGAAAGGGCCCGGGAACCTCAGCCTGGCTCCCCTGCCGCAGGGCCTCCATATCAGACCCCCACTCCTCCCTGCCTCATAGGCCCCAAGGCTGTCCCATCACTATTCTGCCCTGCTGGCCCTGCCCAGTCCCTTGCAATGTGTCCACCACCCGCCCTAGCTCATGTGCCCTCAGGTCCTGGTGCCTCCCTGAGAAGGTAGCTGGAAAGGTGGGTGATGAAGAGGCATTTCCTTGCTCTTTCAGGATTTCAGAATCACATGCATGAACTCTGGAATCAGACGTATTTTAGGCAAGTTATCTCTGAGCCTCTCTTTCCCCCCTGTAAAATGGGAGTGACAACGTCTATGTCATAGGACCAGGTAAGAATTAGGTGAGAAAGTGTCATTTCATGGAAACTGCTATTTCCCAGCAAGAGGCCTCTGGAACTTGAGGGAGGAGGAGGGAAGAGCCCCTGCGGCCGGGCTGCTCAAGGTCTGCACCCTGCCCAGGCCAATGCACCCAGCCCATGGGTGCCCAGGCTGGGATGGGAGGGGAGGGCTTGGGGTGGGGGGTGAGGAGGAGATCTGGCAGTCTTTCAGGGGCAGCATGGGAAGCCCTGGCTCCATAGGCAGCACAGTGTGGCAGCTAAGACCAGACTTTGGAGTCAGACAGCTTGGGTTCAAATCCCAGCTCTGACACTTCCACATTTACTAGTTATGTGACCTAGAGGAAGGTAATTAACCTCCCTGGGCCCCAGTTTCCTCATCCATAAAACGAGGCTAATAATACCTCCTCCCTATGAGTTGGGCTCTTATGGCACACAGAAGCACAGGAGAAGTGTTCAAAAGGAACGACCAGGAGATGTAGCTAGAAGTGCCCAGGAAGAGGACAAAGGCTGGCCCTCTGAGGAGCTAGTCCAGGCCCCCGAGGGGCCCCCCAGGAAGGGGTGGTCCTGTTTTGAGAAGGATCACGGAGCAGGTGCGCTTTGCAGAGAGATGCATGTGGTTTAGAATGGGGGCGGGCAAATGTTTTCCATAAAAGGCCAGAGAGCAAATACCTTGGACTTTGAAGGTCCTACAGTCTCTGCAGTAACAACTCAACTCTGCTGGGGTGGTGTCAAAGCAGCCAGAGACCATACATGACTGGCTGGGTGTGTTCCAATAAAACTTTATGTACAGGCCGGGCGCGGTGGCTCACGCCTGTAATCCTAGCACTCTGGGAGGCTGAGGCGGGTGGATTGTTTGAGCTCAGGAGTTCGAAACCAGCCTGAGCAAGAGCGAGACCCCGTCTCTACTAAAAATAGAAAGAAATTAAT